ATAATGATCTTAACAAATGATATTTTCCATTTCGACCCGATTTGAACGAGGCATCTTTAAATTTTTTAGGACCCGAATTACACTGACGTTTTCATGAAAATTGGCAATTGATATAACCTCTATGCATACCTACATTGTTTCAACAATACGTTGTTATAGAAACAAGGTATCGTTGTATGTTTTTGTTGATGAGATGTGTTGATTTACTGCTCACTAAGGTAGACAACTTTTATCATAGACTGCGAAGTAATAAATTATTGATTGTTTTTGAGTAACCTGGTATACATATCTGCTCCAACGCTTTCCTGAAATGCATAAAAGCATCCATTCATGGAACTCCTCTAAAATTAGTCCATTTAGAAAAATAAAAAAAAATAATTTTTTTTTCGGAAACTACAGTAGTTTTTTGGAAAAACTCGAAAATGTCCCGAGGTTTGGTTGCTATTTATGAAATGCCCGAATAAAATATTGGGGGGGGGGAGAATTTTTTTTTTCAAAATGCACGAAACTTTGTTTCACCCTGTATCACGGGTCCTGATCAATTTAGAAGAAGCTGTAAGGAACGGTTCGAAAGACGATGAAAAAGGCATTCAAAATCTGGGCGGCAATTCAAAATTGGTTCAATATTTTAGAAATTACGAGAAGTCAAACTTGATGCCAAATTCCACTATTAACGTTTCAATTGACGCCCAGTTTATCTCATAATTATTTCAAAATGTGTTAATGAAACAGTACAATTCTCACAGATTGCCATGATTAACAGTTATTTCAATAAAAATTGACAAGGGCGAAACGTTTTTTTTTTTGATGATATTACCCAACTAGTTTTTTTCTTAACCCGAATCCAAACCCCACGAAGAATGGAAGGAAACATTAAGATTTTCTGGTGATGTAGTGATATCGCATTCACCATATGTTTGGTGCATTATGGTATTGGTTGCCTATACCACTGGGATTCTGGGGAAGTTTTTCTAGCCCTACTTGGTTTTCAGTGTCGCATTAATTTGGAATAATGCCATCGCATTCCGGTACAGACAACCATCCCGTCTCGTCCAGTTGAATCAATTTATGTGGAACAATAGCCAAATAATATTCGGAATGTTGATGGCAGTATAGTTGGCTAGCCAGGACGAACATCTGCCGCTGAATTCCCGTGGCAGATTTTCCAATTTCCTGCATGGATATTGTGCGCTGGACGAACTCCCTGGAAACACTAGGAACAATGGAGAATTAATTATGTGTTTTGGTGCGAATAGTTTCGATTTGATGGAGGCTGGTAATATCGATACAATAGTTCAATAGTGTAACATCTCAAAAATCGTAGTTTCGAGAAAATCGCAATTGGAAATTCAGCTCATGATAATTTGAATCTGATTCTGTAGATTATGTCCCAAAAATATAAAATAATAGCGCTGCCATGCATAGTAGTTTTCTATTTACTGCCTTGAATCAACAAATTCAGAAAAAAAAACTTTTGGTGAAAAATGATTTTGTTCGGACTTGTTACACTATTGATCTGAATTATATAATTGATAATATGGAGCTCTGTGATCAAAAATCATCATTATTAGATGAGTAAGTACAATAACTACAATCACTACAGGAACAATGATATAACATAGTATTATAAGTTTGTTTCGAGTGTTGAAATCTATTTTGAGCTATGCAATGTGATAACTCTGGATCACTGAAAATATTTCAGAGTTCAAAACTGTAACAAGTCTTGATTATAGGATCGAGTTATTACAGTATGGAATTATATGGATTACTTGATTTTTTAGGATTTTCTCTCCTCGTTTCTGTAAAAGAAAAATATGCTTATTATTTCAATATATTTGAAGTGGGACAAATCAGATGATTTGCCCCATGATGTCACTGCGTTTAACAATTTTCCTTATCAGGGAGCCAAAAAGAAAAATCCAGTAGCTTTTCAGTGACACTTTGTTTGAAAAAATGTCAGAAAAAAAGAAGTATGGATATATTGAAAAAATATCGAATTTTTACTCATCTTTGGACGTTTCGGGAACGAATGTGCTCTCGTTCTCAACATGGAAATGCACAGACAGGATGTTTTCATTAATTGATCTTGATTCTACCATTTTCATGTTCAGTTTTCATCAGTACTGGAACTTTCAGTCATTCCTCTCTGTCTGTCTGTTTTTGGAGACGTTCTGTACGATTGTCAATGTATCAAAAAATTTAACCAAATTCGTTGGGAGGCGTAGTTTTGAAATCATTTGAAACAGGAAACAAATTATTCTGACATTTTCGAAATAGTAACTAGGTTGATCCATCCCTAGGACTGTAAAACTGTGATAATATGCATGCAAAAATTCTCAAACAAACAATGGTTGCTACATAATAATAATTATCTTGTCATCTTGATGGACCAAACTCTTTCATCTGAATATAACTCTCATGTTCATAATAATTTTTTTTAACAATACCAATCCGACTCTGATGGAATGGTTGTCTCCATATTGTACAGGAATTCATTATAGGAATAATAAGATTTTATACTGTTGTTATTATTATTATTATTGTTATTATTATTGATTCCCCATTTCCCCCATATGAAACTTCGTCGACCACTACATGGAGAAACCTGTTTGAGAGAAAACTAGCTAGCAGAGAACATAGCTGGGGAGGCAAGCCATAAGATGGAAGCTTGGCGAGGAGTCCGTGGTGCCAAACTAGATCGAATGTCTTGGAGATATCAAGTGCCACGGCTAAGTTTTCATCATACCATTCAACAGATTGCTTCCATATAGGTGAGATGAAGCTACTGATTTGGCAAAACATGTCGTGAAATTAAGAATTTTGTGGAAATCTCACCGTTTGTGAAGTTTTTACAGTTCTACTAGTTCCAGATTGTGAAAACGAGAGACAAACAGTTAGTTACATAGTGCACAGAACGTTTCCTGATAAGTTCGAAACAACTATTAATGACTAACCCACATTCAGATACCGTCGAGTAGATACGATAATTTCAGTTTTTGAAATCGCTAGATGGCTTCCAGGATGAAAAAGGATTAAATTGCACACACTGTAAGCACCTTGAAAAAACTTTTAGTTCTACTCTCGCAGCTCCGATGATATATTTCATCGTTCCTAATGATGCTGAACCTGAGTGGCACAAGCAATTAAACAATCATAGTCAATCAGTATCAAACATTTTACAGATCACAAATCCTGAACTGGCTACAAAATGTCTGTTTTACGACAAGTCTACTGCCAATCTCAATAATGCACACTAAAATCTAATGTGTTATTTGGAAAACTTCCAAATCGCCGGATAATCTTTAAACAAACTGATTTCGTTATTTCGTTTATATTCGCATGTGATTTTACCTATTCGAAATAAATTCCTTTGATGATGATGATATAGATCACCTGAAATGAAACAATAATCAGTGGATGTAAATATAGCTAATATTATCATCGCTGAAATCTTCAAACATTCTGGTTGAATTTTGTTTGGTCCAACTTCTCTACTTAGCCACCCATTTTTCTCTGAAAAACTGCGAGATGAGGAGAAACTTGAAGGTCAAACATGTTGCCTATTCAGTCACCCCGCCCAAAATAATCATGAAACTTGCATAAAATCTCCTGAGTTCTATGTTTTTTTGTGAATAAATGTAACCTATCAATATCGTATTGTGAAATATTGTTGAAATTTGCCTCAGTTTTTATAGAAGGTGCGTCAGATAAAATAGCTAGCAGCATTTAATACTGCCTCAAAACCAATGATAGTACGAAAATTTGAGCCTTTGGGCCTATTCCTATTCCTGATCATGCTGTTGACTTAGGTGAACAGGTTCCCTACCTTGATAAGGTTCAGCTGCCTCTTCACCAAATCATTATTTGGAAAGTCCTCTTGAGAGTTTACTGCTCCCAGAAGGTTTTATCTCCAACGCGCTAGTGCTTCACACTACAATATTACATGGGTGGCAGTTTCCTCCTCCTCATTGCATAGTCTGCATATGGGTTCGTCTGTATAGATGCCCATTTGATGCATATGTTTCCTCAAGGGGCAGTGACCGGTTATTAGTCCCGTCACTTGTCTGATCTGACTTCTGTTTAGGCTCAGAATGTCGTTAGTCACTGTTTTGGACAGTGTTCCAACCATCAGTTTACTGTGTCTGTGTCCTGGGACAATGTTCCAGTATGCCTGATGTCTTTCTTGCATCCACCTTGCCAACCAGCCGCGTATTGAGGTTTTGGGGATACTATTCCAAGGTACTTATGTAATATAAGATGAATTCGATAATTTATTTTGTCAAAATCAAAATACTTATATCCTCACAAAAAAGGGCAATTCGTCTCGTGGGTGATGCCTCGCTCACAAACTCACTCACTTCTCTGGAACACCGTAGAAAAGTTTGCGATCTGACTCAATTTCATAGATATTTTCATAGACGGTACTCTTTTGAAATATCAACAATTGTTCCTCCCTTGGCAGTCCGCACAGTTTAACCCGTCGATTTGAGGCTTCGCACCCCTTCGTGGTCACTTTGGAGACCTGCAGAACATCTCTTTCCGAAGACTCGTTCATCCAACGAACAGCGAGGCTTTGAAACACATTGCTAAGGAAGGTGTTCCCCGAGGCATATAATCTCCAGAAATTCAATTGTTTTAGCAGAAATCGAAGTAGATAATAATTTGTGTCGTAAATTCGACTACATAGTGTGTATGTATGTACAACCTCATTCCCCGTTTCCTCTTTGCGCGGTGCTCCGTCGATGAAACCGCCAAATATCGCCAACAAGCCTCCCGAACCTACGAGCCGGTCGCTAAACTTCTCGCTCGCCCCCCGTACCTCGACGTCCCGACGGCGTCTCGGGCGCCGGCGAGCGTCTGCGCGTCGCGCGCCGGGTCCTTCGACAGTCCCGTCGCTACGTTCCACGCCGGTGCCGCCGGTTCAGTGTCGATCGGACGAGCGACGAGAGCACGTGTCTGCTGCCCTCTCGATGCCCATTCTGATCCAGCAAGCATGTGTTAGAGACAAGCGACGATCGGCCGAGAGACGCGGTTCTTCGACGCGCGAGTGTGTGTACCCCGGCCAGGAACATGGTCCGACCCAGCACCCCAGGGCTGACGACGTTTCATCGGCCTGAGCGGAATTAGGCCATGGCCTTTCTGATTACGGCTTGGACCACCCTGCTGTGGCTAGCCTCAGGTAAGGAGACACTCTAACTACTATCGGAAGTTGAGGAGTTAACGTTTCCCTGGTTGACGCGGTAACCTCAAAATAAATGTTCTTACTAGGTCACATACCCCGGTCAGCCTGATTTTACCTTGATGTAATAAGGATTCCTCGAGGATCAATTCACGTTCAACTCATGTGCACCTAAAGCGTTACTGGAAATCAACGGTGCTATTTCATCATTGCCGGTTTACCGGTATCTATAAGGATAATGTCACTAACAAACTGTATTCTCTGATCAGAAGATAAAGGATTATACTAATTTAACGACATCGCTGGTTAATTTCGAAAGAGTCCTAGATGCCATTACGATTTCTTTCTTGTTATCTAAATCAATTGGTATGGATAAACACATCACTCCCATTCTGAATCAAGTTCTAGACAGAAATATGTTCAAAACTGCAGATATATATTCATAAAACAGGATTTCATTTTCTCAAAGTTATAGACTAAAGATAAACTCGGAATTAGAACAGTTTTTCCAAGAGGTTTGCAAGTATCAGGGTTGATGAAGCTCCATCGGCCTGAGCGGAATTAGGCCATGGCCTTTCTGATTACGGCTTGGACCACCCTGCTGTGGCTAGCCTCAGGTAAGAAGACACTCAAACTACTATCGGAAGTTGAGGAGTTTCCCTGGTCGACGCGGTAACCTCAAATGTTCTTACTAGGTCACATACCCCGGTCAGCCTGATTTTACCTTGATGTAATAAGGATTCCTCGATAAAAAACTGTAATCTCTGATCGAAAGATAATGGATAATACAAATTTAACGAAATTGCACGTCAATTCCTAAGAAGTCCTAAATGCCATCTAGATTTCTTTCTCGTTATCTAGATCAATTAGTATGGATAAACACGTAACACGTCACTCCCATTCTGAATCAAGTTCTAGACAGAAATATGTTCAAAACTGCAGATATATATTCATAAAACAGGATTTCATTTTCTCAAACTTATAGACTAAAGATAAGCTCGGAATTAGAACAGTTTTTCCAAGAGGTTTGCAAGTATCAGGGTTGATGAAGCTCCATCGGCCTGAGCGGAATTAGGCCATGGCCTTTCTGATTACGGCTTGGACCACCCTGCTGTGGCTAGCCTCAGGTAAGAAGATACTCGAACTACTATCGGAAGTTGAGGAGTTAACGTTTCCCTGGTCGACGCGGTAACCTCAAATGTTCTTACTAGGTCACATACCCCGGTCAGCCTGATTTTACCGGATTTTACCTTGATGTAATAAGGATTCTCCGAGGATCAATTCACGTTCAACTCATGTGCACCTACAGCGTTACTGGAAATCAACGGTGCGATTTCATCATTGCCGGTTTACCGGTATCTATAAGGATAATGTACAACTAACAAAGTGTATTATCTGATCGAAAGGTAATGGATAATACGAATTTAACAAAGTTGCTCGTTAATTTCGGAGAAGTCCTAAATGCCATCACGATTTCTTTCTTGTTATCTAGATCAATTAGTATGGATAAACACGTCACTCCCATTCTGAATCAAGGTTCAGACAGAAATGTGTTGAAAATTGTAAATATGTATTCATAAAACAGGATTTCATCTTCTCAAAGTTATAGACTGAAGATAAGCTTGGAATTAGAACAGTTTTTCCAAGAGGTTTGCAAGTATCAGGGTTGATGAAGCTCCATCGGCCTGAGCGGAATTAGGCCATGGCCTTTCTGATAACGGCTTGGACCACCCTGCTGTGGCTAGCCTCAGGTAAGGAGACACTCTAACTACTATCGGAAGTTGAGGAGTTAACGTTTCCCTGGTTGACGCGGTAACCTCAAATGTTCTTACTAGGTCACATACCCCGGTCAGCCTGATTTTACCTTGATGTAATAAGGATTCCTCGAGGATCAATTCACGTTCAAATCATGTGCACCTAAAGCGTTGCTGGAAATCAACGGTGCTATTTCATTATTGCCGGTTTACCGGTATATAAGGATAATGTCACTAACAAACTGTATTCTCTGATCAGAAGATAAAGGATTATACTAATTTAACGACATCGCTGGTTAATTTCGAAAGAGTCCTAGATGCCATTACGATTTCTTTCTTGTTATCTAAATCAATTAGTATGGATAAACACGTCACTCCCATTCTGAATCAAGTTCTAGACAGAAATATGTTCAAAACTGCAGATATATATTCATAAAACAGGATTTCATTTTCTCAAAGTTATAGACTGAAGATAAGCTCGGAATTAGAACAGTTTTTCCAAGAGGTTTGCAAGTATCAGGGTTGATGAAGCTCCATCGGCCTGAGCGGAATTAGGCCATGGTTTTTTTGATTACGGCTTGGACCATCCTGCTGTGGCTAGCCTCAGGTAAGAAGACACTCAAACTACTATCGGAAGTTGAGGAGTTAACGTTTCCCTGGTCGACGCGGTAACCTCAAATGTTCTTACTAGGTCACATACCCCGGTCAGCCTGATTTTACCTTGATGTAATAAGGATTCTCCGAGGATCAATTCACGTTCAACTCATGTGCACCTAAAGCGTTGCTGGAAATCAACGGTGCTATTTCATCATTGCCGGTTTACCGGTATCTATAAGGATAATGTATAACTAAAAAACTGTAATCTCTGATCGAAAGATGATGGAGTTTAAGAAGTCCTAAATGCCATCTAGATTTCTTTCTCGTTATCTAGATCAATTAGTATGGATAAACCTCGGGATAAACACGTCACTTCCATTCTGAATCAAGTTCTAGACAGAAAAATGTTCAAAACTGCAGATATATATTCATAAAACAGGATTTCATTTTCTCAAAGTTATAGACTAAAGATAAGCTCGGAATTAGAACAGTTTTTCCAAGAGGTTTGCAAGTATCAGGGTTGATGAAGCTCCATCGGCCTGAGCGGAATTAGGCCATGGCTTTTCTGATTACACCTTGGACCATCCTGCTGTGGCTAGCCTCAGGTGAGGAGACACTCTAACTACTATCGCAAGTGGATCTTCCAGGACGTTTCCCTGGTCGGTCGACGCGGTAACCTCGAATATTTTCACTAGGTCACATACCACGGTCAGCCTGATTTTACCGGATTTTACCTTGATGTAATGAGGATTCTTCGGGGATCAATTCAAGTTCAACTCATGTGCACCTAATGCGTTGCTGGAAATCTCGCTGGGAATCAACAATGCGATTTCATCATTGCCGGTTTACCGGTATCTATAAGGATAATGTAACTAACAAACTGTATTCTCTGATGAGAAGATAAAGGATTATACTAATTTAACGACATCGCTGGTTAATTTCGAAAGAGTCCTAGATGCCATTACGATTTCTTTCTTGTTATCTAAATCAATTGGTATGGATAAACACGTCACTCCCATTCTGAAACAAGGATTAGACAGGAATGTGTTCAATATTGCAGATAGATCGAGATATATTTAATTCTCTCATAGTGATAGACTAAAGATTAGCTTGGAATTAGAACAGTTTTTTCAAGAGGTTTGCAAGTATCAGGGTTGATGAAGTTCCATCGGCCTGAGCGGAATTAGGCCATTGCCTTTTTCAACGGCTTGGACCACCCTGTTGTAGCTAGCTTTTGGTAAGGAGACACTCTATAACTACTATCGGAACTGGATCTTCCAGGACTTCCAGGACGTTCCCCTGGTCGGTCGACATGGTTACCTCGAATATATTTATTAGGTCACATATCCCGGTCAGCCTGATTCTACCGGATTTCACCTTGATGTGATAAGGATTCTTCGAGGATCAATTCACGTGCGATTTCATCATTGCCATATTACCGGTACCTATAAGGATAATGTAACTAACAAACTGTTTTCTCCGAGGTATTCTCTGATCGAAAGATAGTGGATAATACAAAGTCAACGAAATTGCTCGTTAATTTCGAAGAAATCCTAAATGCCATCACGATTTCTTTCTTGTTATCTAGATCACTCAGTATGGATAAACACGTCACTCCCATTCTGAATCAAGATTTAGACAGAAATGTGTTCAAAATTGCAGATATAATTATGTTCATAAAAACAGGATTTAATTCTCCCAAAGTTTTAGACTAAAGATTCAAGAGGTTTGTAAGTATCAGGTTGATGAAGTTCCATCAGCCCGAGCGGAATTAGGCCATGGCCTTTTTGATAACGGCTTGGATCACCCTGCTGTGGCCAGCCTCAAGCAAGGAGACACTCTAACTACTATCGGAAGTGGATCTTCCAGGAGTTAACGTTCTCCTGGTCGACGCGGTATAACCTCCAATGTTGTACTAGTTCACATACGAGGATCAATCCACGTTCACCTCATGTGCACCTAACCAGGGCCTACTCTATCTGAGATAGAGTAGGCCCTGACCTAACGCGTTGCTGGAAATTGCCGGTATCTATTAGGATAATTATAACTAACAAACTGTACCTATTCTTTAATCAAAAGATAATGGATAATACCAATTCAACGAAATTGCTGGTTAATTTCGAAGAAGTCTTAAACACCAGTACAGTTTCTTCCCGAGTTTCTTCCTTGTTCTCGAGATATTTCTTGAAAACGTATTTGGGTAAGTGGACTAAATAATTGGAATTTTATAGTAAAACCATATAATAATAGAAAGTTGTCAATCAAAACCCCTCTCTGATTATAATTGGGAAATATTTCTGAAGTTACTGCCCATATCAACCCATATCAGTGACAATCTGCAGATATATGTTCATAAAACAGTATGTATTTCATTTTCCCAAAGTTATAGACCGAACATTAGCTGCAAGTTGCAACAGTTTTTCCAAAAGTTTTGCAAGTATCAGGGCTAACGCCGTTTCATCGGCCTGAGCGGAATTAGGCCATGGCCTTTCTAGTTACTTCTTGAACCACCCTGCTGTGACTAGCCTCAGATAAGGAGAACCGAACCTGGATCGTCCAGGACCTCCCTAGTTGACGCGGTAGCCTAGAATATTTTGATAGGTCACATACTCTGGTCAGCCTGATTATACCTATGTGGTCTGAATATGG